TCGGTTAGCGTGAGCCCTGACTGAACTCTGCAGAAACTTCACATCGATCTTCGCATCGCGATGTAAAACAAAATGTCGGAAAACTTTTCTTTGACGCATGCGCATTTGCATAAATGTCTACACACACGTCACACACGCGATGTAAAACAAAATGTCGGAAAACTTTTCTTTGACGCATGCGCATTTGCATAAATGTCTACACACACACATACACACTACACACAATAAAAAACATAGGAAATAGCAAGAGTGATTACAATAGTTCCTATTGCATTACATGCATAGGAACTAAAAAGACACATATTTTTTTATTTATTCAACTTCAAACTTTTTAATTTATAGCAACTTTTTTATGGTTGATTTGATTTATTTACAAACTTATAGAGCTACTCAATACAGATAGCTCTAAAATGACACCACAACCAGCTCAACAGGTGCTATACTTACCATGATATGGTCAGTTAAATGTGAAAGGTATATTGCTAATTAGCTCAAACTCCGTTAGCGCGAATCTTACTAATTAAGAGCCCAAGATCAAAAATTTCTCATGGCTCCCAACCACATACTAAAATTTAAACAAAATCCAAGAGATTGATGTTTTTTTTTTCATTTGACATGGAATTACTCAGGGGTGACACCCATGAATAGGGGTTGGCCTTAGTGATATACTTTCCCTCGATTTTCTGGCTGAAAAATGTTGCCTTAATAGGGTTGTCCCAAAGGAGGGGGTCTACTGTATGCAAATATTTTGGTATTTAGTAGCGTACCTTTACCACATTCCTGGATTTCCTTCATGCCGAGTGTCTGGTAAACGTCACGCTCTATATCACAGTACATTTCAAAAGGATATTTAGTTTCCTCTTTATATTGCTGCAATAAAACATAATGTCTGTGAAAGACTCCAATAGACTATTAGTCTTGTATGATACTGTATACTGTATACTTTTCATATTAATGTTACTTTGCCATGCAGACCTTCAAACAATTCATTTTTATTAGAATATAATAATAATAATAATAATAACACAGTAATAACAATAATAATAATAATAATAGTTTACTCTTATATAGAGCAAGTAAGCAAGCTCTCAAAAAATAATAACAATAATAATTCAAAAATGTATCTGTGAGAGTCTTTATTATATAACATCATTTACTATCCATAAATTCTAAATCATCATTTTTATTTGCATATTTTACTTTGAAAATCCAATGAAATTATTTTAATAAATAATAATTACCATTCCTAAAAATAAATACAATTTTGTTAATAAATTGCAATACCTTAATGAACTTGTACGGTGCACATCCAATTACAACAAGTCTAACATTAGCATCCTAAAAAGAAAGATTAAAAAGCCAAAAACATATAATTTTATATACTTTATAAAAACAAGAATAATAAGATTATAGTCAAAGTGAGTGTCATCATGTTTGGTTAAAAAACATTGATACATTAGATCAGACAGTTTTCAATCTCTTAATTCAACACCCCAAGCTGTTACAGAATAACAAACGAATAAAACGTTTCTGAATTATGTCCATGAAAATTAGGTAATCTGCCATTAAACCAAGGGTTCAAACGGGTTTCGCTAGCGGGGTGTATAGGGGGCAAAGGATCCCATTGGGGACCTCTGGATCCCTGCTTAGACCCCTTCGGGGAATTTTCAGCACGGTCTTCGGGGAAAGATCAAATCTCGAGCGCAGAGTACAATTTGAAGCATATCTTAACAAGCTGTCAAAAGTTTAGGGATTCAAAACTGTTTTCCCTGAAAAATTACTTTTTTGTCGGGAAGCTCGAACCCCTCGTCGTGGAACCTGGCGCTGCCTCTGGGTTCAAATCCTAAAAGGATCAACATCAGATTCTTATTAAATGGGAGTTAAGTTTGTTGAGTTGCATTAGCCTTAAAAGGGAAACAAGTACAAGCACAAACTAACACAAAAATGCCAAGAGTATTACCTTCAAATAAGACTCAGGTATTTTTGCAAGATCTGAGAAGAAAAACAGGGTTACAATAAGTAACAAATTAAATTTAATACAGTATTGAAGATCCTCTGTGAATCATGTAGCTAAAAAGGAATATTGTAAAACAATTAAAAAGTTCTGTATTAAAGCGTCTAGTAAGACTCCCTCTATGGGGCATCTGGAGATACAAATCCTCAGTTCCACTACATTCACTGAACATTGTTTTCTGATAAACCATAATGAAAATATAATACATACAGTACAATCAAAATTATTAACTTTTTTTAACAAAATACTGTAAGAAACAACAAACCTTCAACATAATCCCTTGAGATGAAACACAGAAAATGCTGAAAAAATAAAGAAATTTGAATAAAATATGCAACCCAGTCCTAGAGAACTCTTTAAGTAGCCTTGGGCCTTCCCGGATAGGCAAGGCATAAGCCTATCACAGGCAGGGAATTGAATGAAGTAAAGTAAGGCTAGGCTTGGTCTAGTGTATTATTAGCCTATAATAAATATTATAAACCAGGCCGCCTAGCCTACCCATCATGTAGGCCTAGCCCCTAGGGCCAGGCATGTCCCTGCCCACAGACAGGCTTATCCCCTACTACTATTCTAAGGGCTTAGTCTAGTAGGCCTAGGCTGGGCTTCTATCTACTAGTTTAGGCTAAGGCCTATTATTATAGGCCCCTCCTTAGGTCTAGAGAGCCCATCATAGGCCTAGGCAGGCCAACTATCCTAGAAGAGGCCCTCTGTGCCCTGCATGTATGTTGGCAAATTTATAACTCCCTGCTTAGCTTAGCCTACCCGAATGAAAATAACTATCACTTTGTGCTGCTTGTAGAGGTAATCGAAAGGAATCATGTTTCCTTCTTCGTCCCATAATGGTAATTTAGCAACACTATCAAAATCAAACGTCTCTTCGGCAGCTATTGGGATGGGGATGTAAGTATCCTGTTTGTTTTTCTTTACTGCCTTAACACCTCGGTCCATGGAAGCCATTTTAATTTATGAATGAATGAACGCGGTACGCTGGTTGCCTGGGAAAAGTTTGTTTACTATCAAGGATCGTCCATTATTAAAATGGGGCTCTCAATACTTTGAGAATTGATTAACAGGTTAATGTTGTGTATTTATCAATCCCACACTTTATATTGGTTCCAATAAAAAATAATAAAAATGATAATAATGATGACATTATAGATAATAATATGATAAAAATGATGATGTTGATGATACAGTAGAACTCCCATTCTTTGGGACACTCCTATTCAAGGGATACCCCTATTAAGGGGACAGTACCCTAGGGATTAGGAGGGCGCTTTCTGATTTCTATATCATTAGGTAATTCATATACATTATGCTGTACATCAGTAGAAAAAACTATAGAAAGATATAAACAAGAATATGTTAATTTGATCATTATTTATGGATAACAATTAATCATAAATCAGTTATATTCTACAGTTCATTTTTAATAAATGTATTATATTTGCATTACAATGTTGTTATATATAAATTCTAACTCAATCTTAGGTCAAAATTTATGGGAAATTTTATAGATGCCATTATTGTATGCCAATTTTACTTATTCTGTTAGTGTTTTCTAAATAGGGACACCCCTATTAAGTCCACACTTTTTCGTCAAGGTGGTGTCCCCCTCTAATAGGCGCACTACTGTAATAATGATAATGCTGTTGTTGATGATGATTGTACTATATATTTTGTCTACTTATTTAGCATCCTTCCGTTTTGAAAAACAATAAAAATGTCAACATAATGCCAGTATTTGAATATACACTATCATTAAATCGAAGGAAATGTTACAAATTTGCCAAAAAAAAAGAAAAAAAAAAGAATGGATGCGATCCATAAAATCAGCAACATTGATATGGGTCACTGCTAAAAGAAAAACCAAAGTAAGTATGACACCATGAACAAAATTAATGTTCACATCACTTTATTTTAAAAATATACATCGATCATTCAGTAATACAAACAATACTATGATTTACGATTTTATCACAATGATGAATTTTCCCTGATTATAGAATAGAATGCCTATGTGAACTTTGTGCGTGTTGTTTGGTTTAAAACTATAAAGAGTTGAGGTAATAAGCGTTCAATGTTAGTTACGCAAATTCTTTAAAAAAGTAAAAACAGAAACTTTCGGGTTAAATTAACAGACGCATAAATATACCGTTCAAATTTCTTTAAGTAATTGGTTGGTGATTGAGAGAATTTCGTAAATAAGTTAAAATTTAATTGTTCTGGTTTTTACCCGTATTTGAATTGATGAGCATTTATTATTACCGTCTACCCTCTACGAGCAAGGTCCAAATATCAAACACAGTATATAAACGACTTAGATGTTTTTTCCTTATAATAATAATATTATTTATTATAATCGTATACACAAAGAAAGGGACTTATATAAATATGGATAGGCATTGAATGATAAATTGTTCAATTTGAACGAAAAAAAAAAGAAACGAAAAAGGACCGCAGGCTTTTACTTCTTATATTTTGATAATTAATAATAATAATAATAATAATAATAATAATAATAATAATAATAATACGATTTTTCGACTTAAAAACAAACATAACACATCCTACAATCAATAGTCTAACATTTGAAATACTACAAACAGGAAGCCAGTAGAAACCACCAGTGCTTCTTTCCTCCATGGTAAAACTAAATTATATGCCTCAGTTTATTTTAAATATATACCTCTTATCATTTTTATTAAAAAGGAAAAGCGATTAAAACAATACAGAGATGAAATACAGCACTCCTTGAGAACAACACAGGAATATAACTTCATGCTTGGCCTGCGAAAGTTGTACCACACTTCTTCCCCCAATGATAGACAAACTAGTGTCCAAGAAACCAATGTGCTGTCTATAGGCCTCTTTATGATTTTCTGCTATAAAAAGATGACATGTCCAATATTTCATCTCCGTACCACCTATCGATGATCATGACCGCTAAGTCATACATACTCCGCCTCATTCTACCATCTCCAAATAAGCATTAGGATCGTCATCTCCAATAGTTGATGGGTCGATATAATCGTATTCCGCCTGCGTCTGTGCTGCTTCGCCATTGGTTGGTCTTGGTCTTGGGTTTGGCAAGGGAGGCCTTGCACTCATGCTCATTTTCTCTTTTTTCTTTTTCTCTTTAGCGGGTTTTTTCGGGGTTGGCGTGTAGTGGTTTCCAGCTTCCTTTTTCAACGTAGCAGGTGGTTTCCTATTATTATAATCAGAAGTAGATTTTGTTACCTCAAGAGAGATCTATGGTAATTCTGATGTGCACACCTGCATCTTAAAAATATTCTAAATCTGGTTATAATTCAAGAAAATATGAATTATTTTGATGTATTTCAATAAAGTACTGCCTTTTAACCAAAACGTAACGAATAAAATATGTCCTCGCCAATTAGCGGACATAATACAATTTCTGTAACCTTTGGACTTAACGATTTTTGCAAAACCATATGTAAGTAATATTCATCTTGAAAGTTGATAACCGTATACGTCATATAACTGAGCAACTCAAATTGACGCCTATATTTTAATATTTTATTTTTATTTTCAATAATTTTCATGAGGTAAAATTGATTGGCATACAGTAAACCTATTTTTGAAATATGCACGCATATCGTACCTTTTTCTATGCCAGAGTAGCAGAAAACCGGCCCAACTGAGTAGAAGAACTACCGCCAATAGCACAATCACTACTATCAATACTGAATAGAAACAGAGGAAAACAGTAAAGGTTATAAGCCTATAAAACTAGAAATTGCAAATGCAAGTGAAGTGCTGCGAAGTACAACTGCATATATAAATGTTCTTCGAACAAAATTATTTATGCGAGTCAAGTGAAAACAATGAATAATAAAAATAAAACAAATAATATGAGACACGACCCATTGTCTATATATTATTAGAACACTTCTCATTGGGTAACAAAGTCGTAATTTTTCATTTTTGTCAAAAAGTGTCTATAGTGGTGAATTATGGTTTAGGTTTTTTTTTTTTTTTTTTAATAAAGTTTCAAAAATGTCTATGTATGTGGAAAATGTAGTTGATTACCAAAGGTTACAATTTTTATTTTGAAGACTGCATGGTCTAGGAAGTGTACATTTTTTATGGGGCAAGTTTCCAAGGGCGGGTTTTCTAGGGGCGAGTTGACTGCCAAAGAGTGTTGCAAAGTGCGAGCCAGCGTGTTATTTGATCACAAGTGCGAGACATCGCAAGTGTAAGCCAGCGAGCCACTTGCGACGTCACGACAATAGATACGAGACGTTACTCGAGTTGTGCGAGGTATTGGCTGAGATTTGTGGAGTACAATTCAAAAAACAACTATAGGTCTAATAATGAATTATTGTGATGTTAAATAGACAATGTTAGCTATCAAGGAGCGACGTTTTTTTGATTTTTTTTTCATTGGGACCTTCGTCCCTTCAAGGCTAGGCCTATACCATCCTAGCTAGGCCTAGAGTAGGATAATAAGGTTAGCGCGACATGCGGGCGTTGGTATGTCTTGGTTAGTCTACAAACGTCGCCTAAAGTAATTGATTTTACACGGCAGAACGAAAGAAGGAAACTCCGCTTTTCAGTCGTCTTAGGCCCTTGTTTTTTGACAAACAATTACCTTTCAGAGGTCAAATAAATCATGAATACACTCTCGTGAACTAGGCTATATAGGCCTTCATAGTGTTTCAGTTTGCTATTACATTTTTCACAACTTAATTGAAAGGTGTAAGTAACTACAATATACTCAAGCAATAATATCTTTCGAAAAGTAAATAATTCAGTTAATAATTAAAAGTAAAATAGGACTATTTACACTAATAAAACACATAATAATCGGCGAGAGATTTTTGAAATGCGGTTTGATACAAACTTGGATACATGCACATCAATATATGACTCTGCTTGAATAAAACAATGAATCTGGTTGGGTATTATAATAATAGATAAAAGTATACTAATGTACTTGAATATAACAATACATGTGATACAATAAAAGTATAATATACTTATTACATAATACAAAGACTCGGGTACATGCAATATTACATAAATATATGGACAGTGTATATAATACAATACGCTGATAAAACAGTTTAATTGGATCTTGTGATACACGTAATAGAGGCAAACTGGGTGAGGCCATTAAGATTTTGATTACAGATTACGGATACAATAGTAAATACGAATCGATCGTTTTGCCCTACCCGACGTGTTATAGTACTAAGTGCTCAGTACTGTCGTTCCCGAGCATTCAGTTATAACACGTGAGGAGGGCAAACCGATTCGTATTATTTATCTTGACGAAAAACGCCATCTGATGTATTGCTTTATTTTTTAAACACTATTTCAAGTAGCCAGCTGTATACGATGCTGATTTTAAACTATTGGTTTCTTACCTGTGTCCGTCGTACCGGTACTTGATGAAGCTAAAATGAAAAACAATTTTATTTAATTCACTGATAAAATTTCCATTGTAAAGATCTGCAAAATTGTTGCAGTGGCGTATCTAGGAGGGGCGTGGTGGGTGCGCTCAAGTAGTTAAAAATCACCTCATAACCTTAGCTTGCGATCTAGCGCCTTGGATCTTGTGATACACGTAATAAAGTCAAACTGGGTGAGGCCATTAAGATTTTGATTACAGATGACGGATACAATAGTAAATACGAATCGATCGTTTTGCCCTACCCGACGTGTTATAGTACTAAGTGCTCAGTACTGTCGTTCCCGAGCATTCAGTTATAACACGTGAGGAGGGCAAACCGATTCGTATTATTTCTCTTGACGAAAAACGCCATCTGATGTATTGCTTTATTTTTTAAACACTATTTCAAGTAGCCAGCTGTATACGATGCTGATTTTAAACTATTGGTTTCTTACCTGTGTCCGTCGTACCGGTACTTGATGAAGCTAAAATGAAAAACAATTTTATTTAATTCACTGATAAAATTTCCATTGTAAAGATCTGCAAAATTGTTGCAGTGGCGTATCTAGGAGGGGCGTGGTGGGTGCGCTCAAGTAGTTAAAAATCACCTCATAACCTTAGCTTGCGATCTAGCGCCACTCACTTAAGCATCGACCCCCACTTCACCCCCCCCACGCCCATTTCAAGACTTCTAGATACACCACTGAATTGTTGGGAAAATTTGTATTTTTTTTATTTTATTTATTCTGGTTTACTCCAAGATAGAGATGATAAGTTATAAAGGAAAATTAACTCCTATTCCCAGTGGGATTCACCTGCCATACACATATTCGGAACAAATTGATATTATCATGCAGCTAGGTTTAAACAATGATAATGAAACTATTTCAAGATTCAAGATAATGGAGACATACAGAAGTTAACAAGGCTTATTAATAAAGCGAAAAAGCGACAATTAATATATTGATCCCTGTGTGTTACTATTTTTACTATTGCAACTGCATGCATTTTCATCATCGTCGTCACCGTCATTATCGTTATCAACATCATCATCTTCGTTATCGTCATCATCATTATTGTTATGATGAATAGGCCTATTAATATTACACTAAGAACTATTAATATTAATAATAAAAACTATTGTTTATGTGAATATACTTACCGGTTGGGCAAGGTGGTGGTTGTGGTGGATCAGTGACGAAATTGGGGTCTTCTATGCAATATAAGTCATTAATTGTGAAAGTGTTTGGGTTTGAGCATGCTATCTCCACCAAGTACCCGACCCCACAGCCTAAAGTCAACACGGATGGGCATTCAACTCCCATAGGCGGCGGTAACACAGGTACATTCATATCCATTGGTACTGGTGGACATATTTCTAAAACAAAACAATAATATATTGTGCTCATATTATCTAGATTTATAACGCAGGTGTATGCCCATTATAACAAACGTGTGTTGTAGCGTACATTCAGACTAAGCTAGATGGGAGTATGACTTATTCACGGCGTAACAACACACGACATGATCATCCAAGAGGAATTCAAAAGAAAATGGATAATGCACGGTATATATTCGCGTATAAGACGAGGCTTAAAATAGCAAATTACGATCGAAAAACAGGTAATGGTCTTATACGCACGACATACAAATTTTAGGTTGTTTAAATCATGTTTGTTGTATGTGCGGATCGTCCGCAACACGTGAATTCAATACATACAATGAAACCACATGTTGTAAGAACGCAACTTTTTAATACGGGGAAATAAGATTTTATGAACATTTAAAAACTCAGAAAATGGTATTGTTTGGAAGATTAGCCATGCATTTGACTCCGTTCCAGCTACTGTAGATGCAATATGAAGACCATAAAAGCTGAAAAGGTAGGAAATCCGACGATCAACAAGGAGGGGGAGGGGGACTTGTGTTATATGCCCGACATACAATCGTCCAAAAATCTTCTCAAACTTGGGGGTAGTCGTCTTATATACGGGTCGCCTTAATGCAAGTTATATAAGGTAATATATAATGCTCACTGGTAGGTGAGCTTATCAGGAAAGCTGGTGTTTGTGAATTCGTATAGGCCTGAGTGAATTCATTTCCAGCTTTAGACTAAGTCCGTTAGTCTCCCGTTTGTGTTTTGAAAAAAAATGATGATTTCATTTGTATAAGGATATTATTATGTAGGGCTACCAGCGTTGTTCTCAGCTGACCAGTGGGCGGTTTGGCCTATTTTTCATCCGGTCGCGGACCGATGCACCTTTTGGGAAATGACGGCTTTTGAGAAAAACTGATAATTGTGATAATTATACTGAACAAAATAATATTGAACTGCATCCATAAAAATGTGTTTTAAGTGTTGAAAAAGGTCTGTAATGCCTCATATTGTCAAAAGAGGGCGCCCCTGCCTACAGCCCACAGTAATTTAATTTAATGGACCAAAGTGTTTGGGTCCCAGTCCGCCATGGTTTAAAAAAAAGTATAGGAGTCGCCTATAGATCTAGTACCAATATTAATAATAATTCCCAAATATTTATGTAGCGCCACTTCAAAATTGAATGATCAAAGACGCTGAGCGTTATCAACTGGTCACAAAAGAATTACATTACACTTGTACAATTCTATTTACTTCGATTTTCTAGCGTCACACCATTTAAAACTAGCAAATAATAATAATAATAATAATAATAATAATAATAATAATAATAATAATAATATCTTTCATCAAAGAAAGGTACCGTAAATACAGTGTTCGAAGGACATGATAATACATCGTGTACGGTAGATTAGATCTCAACGAATGTTGTCCCATAAATAAATTAATAAATAATGTGTAAATGTGTAATAAAATGTCTCTGACGTGATTCGAACCTGCAAACTCTCGCTGTCAAGGCGAGCTTCATAACCATTAGACCACAGAGGCTTCATGGTTGAACAGATTCAAATAACCGCCAGATACACTCTATTACACAATAGTATATATATATAATATGTATATAATTATATATAGGCATATATATATATATATATTTATTTATATATATATAAAATTGTCCATACTGCTTTTCTATATAGTACCACAGTCGTTTCGTCACGAGGCCAGGTGGCGCTCTCTGTTGTCAACAGACGTAGATTACCGTTCATTACCCCTGAATGACTTCATAGGCTTTCTGGAATAGGCATTTTAAATCTAATATTTTACCATCAAAATGTACTAAAAACACAAAAGCTCGCATTATATTAGTTATCGAACACACATTTAATCATCAATTAAAATTTACGAAGAAAAAGTAAGATACAACATTTGAATAATTACGTTTGAATTTGGGAATCATTGGTTTGTCAGTAAAGAAAATGGAGTCCGGTTGAAAGCCTTTTGCAACGATAGCAAAATAGTAGTAGGCCTATCACGTGGTATCGTGACGTAACACTGTAGTATTCTATATACTGCATTGAGCACTCTTGTCTATATGATCTGGTTAAGCCAACCACGCAGATTATATTACTTTATATATTATTGCATTCATTATCAATTGCTGTGTTTCTTGTCTTAATTCTTGTATTTATTTTTATAATTAAATTTTATATATATTATCTTAATTATTTATGAAATTGCAAGGCTCACATGCAACTTGGCTTTCGAGCCACGACTTGTGACCGCTTTTTATTGATGTTTTTATATTGATCTTTTTTTTATATGAATAAAAGTGAAATGAATGAATATATACGGTATGTATATATATATATATGTACATTCGCACCTGGGCTGTGTATATGCCTTGGTTTGGCTCTGTAATCATTAGTGGTCGTGGGACTAGTTTGGGCCCTACCTAAGCTGGTCGAACGTTTCGTTTTGGTCTGTACAATAGCTGCACTTATGAGGCCTGGAAGGCCGAAACGGATCCGTCTGCAGATATTGGGATTCCTTCCAGTGGATGCTTAGTTTATTTTGTCATTCTGATCGGATTTTCTCTACTGTTCCGTTTTAATTTTAATTTTAAAGGGAAAAAGCAATAGATCACCGACGATCACCAACTCTATTTAAGACCAACATAAGTCATCTTTTATCATTCTCCTGATGACGGTCAGAGCAATCTTACCGAAACGTCGAGACAACCAACCAGTGGTTTTTACGTTAATAAAAACCATATTCTTTTATTTTATTTACACATGGTGTACCGAAAGTTTGTTATATGTTTAATTTTAAATTGTTTTGTATTATATGGCCATTTGCTGTTTTATGGGTTTTTCCCATTTGCCTTTCAAACAAGCAAGTCAACTTTCAATGCTTGTATACCGTTTTTTCATTGTTTTTACATTATATATATATATATATATACATATATATATAT